CTCTCTCTCTCTCTCTCTCTCTCTCTCTCTCTCTCTCTCTCTCTCTCTCTCTCTCTCTCTCTCTTTCTATTTCTCACCTCCTCCGATATTTCCTCTCGGTATTTTACGAGACGCGAACTATAAATAAGCGAGCGAATGAATAAACGATATGTTATCGCTCGAGCCGACTGAAAGTTGCATCGGCTCGCATCGACGATGCGCATCTCGATTCTCGATTTGGTCCGAATTTAGCGCCACGCGGCGCGAGAGCATTTTCCACCGAGGTGGCACACAGTTCTGGTTATTTTAAGCAATTGTTAAGTGCTCTCGCGGCTACACCGAAAACACATTTACACGCTCGTTGTCCCATCAGGCCGTGATTCAGCGCGGTGCGCGAGCTCTTATCTCGCCGCTTTGTCCACCCTTAATAAATGTAGACTGCCTGGCGGATGGGTGTAATAAGTTTTGCTCTGCAATTAACCGAATCTCGTGATATTTATGAAATATCATGCTTTACGCGCGTGTCGTCCAATTAAATGCTACTCTACGTTTCTCCTCTTCGCGCTTTCCCTCTCTCTTTCTCCTCCTCCCTCCTTCTCCCTCTCTCTCTCTCTCTCTCTGTCTCTGTCTCTCCTTATCGTGCGTGCTCAATTAATCGTGATCTGTCCGGTATTCTTTTGTTTCCTACAACACGTACGGTAATTAAATAATGAAGCTGTCCCGCCAAGCTCTCTATCTCTCGCCAAATGAAAATTTATTTCTTATTTAAGAACGGATCGCATGAAGTTTTAATTGTAGAGTATTCGTCCCGTACCTGCGGACTATTAAATAATACAATTACGCCGGAAGAATTGGGCTTTCATCGCAAAGTGACGATAACACTAATATCACGTCGGAATGGCTTCGTGCACATGCACGCGCGCGCAAGTGTATATCTCGTGCATGCGTCATATTAGATTTGCGTACACGCATTCATGGGTACAGGCGCGGGAATGTACAACTCACCTATTTCAAATCGTCCGATCCCTCTTACGACATTCTTTGCAGCCTCTTGATCGGCGAATACCGCACGTTCCGGATCGAACCGCAGGTGGATGAGAACATTTCGCGAATTCGGCCGTTCACCCTGCAAGCCGAACAGTAACTCGATAATAATTGAGCGACGAAATTTGATCACGACGATACGCGAATAACTGTCTACGACTAGAAGTATGTCAGAAGCGGAAAATACGAAGCGACGATTCAGCGATCGTTCGGTGAAGTATCGCGTGACTCGAAGCGCACCGGACGACACCCGAATTCTCTCTGGTGTCTCGCGGCGAAAAACCTTTTCCACGCAGCGCGCGACACGTAACGCTTTTTATCGGGGGAGGCACACGTGTCACGCGCGAGATTATTGGCCTTTGTGAGCGGGCTGACAAATGGTCCTCCGCATATGGCGCGTCGCGCCCGACTGAGGCCAGATTTTGGTCCAGCAGCATCCTCCTCTTGCCGCGCGTCTCCCGGCCGTGCCCCACCATCGTGGACCGTGCCGTGCTTTCGGTGTAGCACGCAGGATTCGCGCATCCTTCCGCTATCGTTACCTCGAATCTCTAGCGATCCTATCTTTCGCTATATAATGTGGTTTCTCCTCCCTGAAAAGGAAAATACACGTACTGTTATTGTATATTACATTATTAAATTTGTATGCATAGCATTTGCGCATAATATATGTTCTACACACACATACACACACATACATGCAAAAGTGTTATGTACAAATGATTCCTGTGTGCGTAGAATACAGCTGCGTTCAACGCGATGACAATTTAGTAAAAAATAAAACGATATCATTACGAATTGATAATCATTCGTATTGAAGTCGTATCCGATTTCTCTACAGGACAGAGAGGGAGAGGAAGAAAGAGAGTGTGTGTATGTGTGTGAGTGTCGCGTATAACCAGCAACCGAACTCGCTGGAAAGTTTCTGGAGGATCGCCCTCGCGGGACTCATGACTGGAGTTAATACACTTTAAGAATATCACAAACGGAAATCGTGAAAGGGGCAATCTCGAAAGGTGCCATTTAATTCGAGGGAAGTCTTCGTATTTCGCGGAGTAGATTGGTTTTCCTAGCGCAGCAGGTATATGCATATGCACGAGACGAACGAGAGAGAACTTCGCCTGGACGTTGTAAGCGACGATATCGCGACGAGAGAATTAAAATTAACGGACGACAATTAAGAAGGGAGCAGTGAGAAATTGAAGAGGTTGATTTCAAAGCCGAAGGATCAAGTATCCTTGACTTCATAAACGTAACATGAATTGTTGCAGTTTACGATTACAATACCCCTAATAAACTCGCTCGTCCTCTCTTAATTCCGTGCATAATTGCTATCGATTCTCTTGCCGGTTTCGCTCGTGCTATTTAACTCGGATTAAACGAGCTGAAATAGACTCAAGTCGTACGAAGCGACAGGGAAAGAGCGCCGGGTACTTCTGCGCCGCGATTCGATTGCGACTGGTCGAGCGGAGTTTTCCTGTTGGAAAAAGAGCTCGCGACGTGCGAAGGGACCGTCGAACTCCTCGTGAACTCAAAACTTCGGATCGTCTCCCTGCGAAAGCCTGCCGCCCAATCCCGCTTGCTCATCCAGCTCACGTACGCGAGGGTGGTTGTTTTGGCGATGAGGGGTTCGCCGGGATTCGCGCTGGGTGCTCTCGGCAAAATACGAGATCCGAATTATTGGGACGCTCCTTCAAAACCACCGCGATTTCCAAGTGCGACACGTATGAAGTCGATATATCGTCGGACGATATATGCTAAGAACGTATTTCCTTTCGCCAGCCTTGTCACACACGGCAGGGACTCTGAGGGGAAAAAAAAATTATAGGCTCGTTAGAAAGGAAGACCACGCGCTGCCGAAGAACCGGATTTCCTGCGGCGATAGTGCACTCGCGGCCGAGGTCGATTCGACCTAAGTGCATTATCTGATTAATAATTGTTCGCACGAAAAACGATAACAAAATTGCCACTTCCGATTGACCAGTTAAGGACGATTATTTCGTATCCTCTTAGATTGTCGTTTTCGCATAGCATATCCATTTTGGCATTTCTCTATTTTGGCAGAATACAATCATGGTGGTCCTTTCTCTCTCTCTCTCTCTCTCTCTCTCTCTCTCTCTCTCTCTCTCTCTC